CCATGGGTTCGGCGTGGACCAGGCGCCGCCCCGGTTGACGAGACCCTCGCAGGCTCCGACTCCTCGTGCACCGACGAGGCTGCTGAGCCCCCTGGGCCCGCGGGCTGGCAGGAGCCCGCACAGGCGGCGCCAGCGGGCGGCAAGGCAGGGGAGCCGCAGGGGAAGGTGCAAGAGCTCACCGACGATGCCCTTGGTGCCCTTCTGCGGCTCTGGAGCCAAAGCGAGGCAAACGGGCAGAGGGGCCTGGCGGCGACACTCATCGCGCAGCCGTTCCAGCTCCAGGTCGAGGATGTCGTCATTGGCCGCAAGGCGCCGCACGATCCAGAGCAGGCTCGACGGCACGCAAGAGTGACCCCTCTGCGAGAGCGACCCTCGGTGCGCGGCTTTCGAGGGGCGCGGAAGGGGGGGGCCCGCGCGCTCAGGCCGCTGCTGCCGCGTCGCGGGCAACGATCGGCGAGGCGGGCTTCGGATTTGGGCCCTGAGGGACGGGGCCGCAATGTCGGAAAGGGATCTCAGGCACGAACGATTGCAACAAAAAAACACACACAAAAAACACGGATTTCAAAAAAAAACCTCGTTGTTTGCAATCCTTGGGTTTTTTTTTTGCAATCCTTCGTTTTTTGCAATCCTTGGTTTTTTTTTTTTGCAATCCTTCGATTCATAATGTTTGAGGCACCTCGTCCCTCGGGCCCCGTCCCTCGGGGCCTCCTCCTTCGAGCCGCCCAGGGGGCCACCGCTGCGCCGGGGTCGCTCCTGCGCGTGCCCGACAGGCCGCCGCCGCCGAGGCGGCGCCCGGGCCCGTGGCTGCGGCGAGGGGCCGCGCGGCGCTGGCGCCGGTCCCGGGAGGAACGTGGTTTTTTGTTGAGAGTCTGGCAGGTCGATTTGCCCGGCATTTTGCCCCCGCCTCCCTCCCCTCCTCCCTCCCCTCGACCTCCACCCTCCGAACCTTCCGCACAGCAGGTGCCGCCGGTGAGCGGCCGCGGCGACCGCCGAGACCGCCGCTGCGGCCTCGACGGCGGCCGCCACTGCGGCCGTGCTGGCGGCGGCCGCTGTGCGGCATCTACCGTCCGAAAGGTGAGGGAGGTGGAGGTCGAGGGTCCTTTCTCCCCCCACCTCCCCTCCCCTCTCCCCCTCTTTCCCCCCTCCCCTTCCCCCCTTCCACAATTGCACGATATGAATACTACTCTCCTCTCTCCCCTGACTCTGTCTGGAAGATATTCGGCCCCGTTCCGCTTATTGTTTTTTACACATGATTCCGGCGAGTTGGTCTTTCATATGTGTTGTTTTACACATCCGTTTCTTTCTGGTCCTTCAAAATGTTGTTCCCGCTACAGCGGTGGTCTCATTTTCGGGCTTCTGCTCGTTCCAACGCGTGCTCCCGCTGCAGCGCTGACCTCATTTCCGCGCTTCCGCTCGTTTCCAATCATTCTTCCGCTGCAGTGCTGGCCGAATCGTGTTCCTGAGCATGGCATGCAATGCAGTGCTATGGTGTGTTCCGCTGTGCGATGCCATGCCTTTAGCTGCAATGTTATGATATGCAGTGCTTCACTACGCAGTGCCACACCATGCTATGTCATTCTACGCGTTGATCTTAAACGCCATCTTCTGCCATGTAATGCTATGCCATGCTACGACACCCGACTGCGCGAATAGCGAGGAGATCTACGCCATGGTAAGGGATCGGAGGGGTAGGACATCGAATAAGACGCTTGCGCACCTAGCTTGCCTTCCCCTCCCTCCCCCAACCCCCCTCCGCACTTACACAATATGAATCCTTCACTCCTCTTCTCCCCGAACAACGTAAAACAGTAGCCCGCCCCCCTCCGCGTCCTGTTTTATTCGCGCCCAGGATTTCAAGCACTGCTGTTTCCCATGTTTTGCTGCATGTCCGATTTTCTCTGGTAATTCATAATGGTGCTCCCGCTGCAGCTTGGGCCTCATTTTCGGATCGGCGCTTTGCTTCCGTCGTTCAGAGTGGCACTCTCGCCCCAGCGCGGGCCATTTTTCTGGATCCGAGTCTAGCTTCATTGTGGTCCCCGCCTCATTTCCTCTCCTCCGCCTTCTCCTGGTCCTCCTGTTCCCCCCGCCCCTTCCAGTTCAGTTCCTGCTGCTGCCGTTCGTCTCGCCCCAGCGAGGGCCACTTTCCTAACTCCGAGCCTTTCTCCATCGTGGCCGCCCCCATCATTTCCCCTCCTCCGCCTTCCCCTGGTCCTCTTTTCTTTCCTGTGTTGCCGCTTCAGGTCCTGCTGCTGCTGCTGCTGCTTTTCGTCCGCATCCTTTTTCCTGCTCGTCCTCCTGCTCACCCGCCACCTCCTCCTCCTCCTCCTCCTCCCGCGCATTTCTTTCTTTTTTCCGGTTGCGTATTCCACGAAGTGGTCTTTCTGTGGGAGTCGCAGGTCGGCTATGATACGCGTCCGCGGATAATGAAACATCAGCGCCGTGGGAAGAGATGGGAGGGAGGGGAAGGACGTCAAATGAGGCGCGAGCGCGCCTAACTTGCCTCCCCCCCTCCTCCCCTCCCTCACCTCCCCTTCCCTCCCGCCCCCCTCCGCCCCCCGCCGGTCCCGCCCGCCCAGCACTGGGCCGAAAGAGCGCGCAGGCAACTTTCGGCGCGCGTAACCTTCAGCTTTCCTGGAGGGGGCTCGCCTGGGAGCCCTCTTCATGCGAGAAGCCTGCCGGAATCGCATCAAAGAACAGGATTCAGCGCGGCAGGAGGCGGCCGGCGAGGCTCGCGCCGACCAGGCGCTGGGCGCCGGGCGGCTGCCAGCGGCACCGGCCCGCACCCAGGGCCCATCGGCAGCCGCCCCGCCCCGCCGGTTGGCCGCCCGCGGGGGCCCTGCCGTGGAATCCCAGGCGTCCAGAGGGGCTGTCGTTACACATGACGCGGGACGCTGCCACAGCAGGAGTCGAGAGACGGACTCCACAGGTGCAGCGGCTCGCCTGCCAAAGCTTCGTTCCACCCAGGCCGAATCAAGCGCAGGGGTGCTCCATTTTTCCACATCTCTTTGAACCGTCTGCGATGACAGGCGGGCATGAGCTGCCATCACCTGGTTGGTGTTTTCAGGCAGAGCACCCTTCCCCTGCTTCGGCCGCCATGGCTTGTCTCTGTCTCTCTCTCTCTCTCTTTCTCTCTCTCTCTCTCTCACTCTCCCTCTTTCTCTCTACACACATTTACCGGGGGAACGATCTGGGGGTCCAACAGCTGGAACCTCGGACCCCCCTTTGGGTCCGGCTCACAAGAGGCTCCACGAGGTCCTCCAGAGGCCCCAGGATCGGGGGCCCATTCATGTCCACCGCCCCCGCCTGCGTAAAAGCGTATAATATACCAGGGTATTGGGGGCCTGGGGGCCCGCGCCAGCACACATCAGGAGGGAAAAAACACACAGACGCAATCAATCGTCAATTTCCAGGAAGATATGCGAAAATATTGGAAGGGAGGGGGGAAGACAGAAATCCAGGAAATATGGGAGAAATATTTGGGATCCTGTTATTCGTGTGTACTTATTTGTGTGTCCCAGGGCCCCTTCAACGCATTCCTGGACCCCCCCCCTCTGATGGTTCTCTTTGACCCCCGGCGTCCAGGAGCTCTTCTGAGGCCTTGAGGGGGCCACGTCGGCCTCTAGAGGCTCCCCCCACGGGGCCGGCTACCCGAGGAGGCCTCAAGAGATTCGCATAAGCCCCTTTAGTGTCCCAAGAAAATCCCAACGCGTTTATCTTGTAGCCCCCAGGAGGCTTGCGAGGACGCCCCCCCGAGGGCCCCAAATCGAAACAAAAACACAGTATTTTTTTTTGTTCCCCGATGTTTTTCGTTTTCTCGCGTTTTCGCTTCCGATGTGATTTTCAAGCCTCAAGATTACTCCCCCCACGAGAGTCCCAACCTGGGCCCAAGACGGCCCAAGAGGCTCCCGAGGCGGCTTTAAGACGTCTTCAAGATGCTTCCGAGAGGCACCCAGGAGGGCCCCCAGAGTTTCCCCAGAAAGCTTTCAGGACCCCAGGAGGCCCGCGGAACTGCCAGAAGGCCCCCAAGAAGCCCTCGAGACGCCCCAAGAAGCCTCCCGGAGGCCCAGAAGAAGCCCTAAGAGGCAGCAGGCGGCCCCTGTCGTGACCTACGAGGCATCAGAATTGCTTCCAAGCGGCCCTCTGCAAGTTTTCCAATGGAGCCCTCACAAGCATTCAATATGCTTCTGACTCACAACCCAGGCACGGTGGCGATTTCACCCGTTCGAACCACGCGAGGGCGTCAAGAGCAGGTCAAGATGGCCGAGATCAATTCAAACCACTAGTGGTCAACGCTCCAGGAAAACCAATTCAACCACAGCCGCGCGCTGCAGTGCAGCAGGCGGGTTCTCACGGCCCTGCGTTGCAGGGCAGCAGGTGATTCTTGCGGCCGTGCGCTGGGGGAGCAGCAGGTGGTCTCTTCTTTTCTGTCAGGATGGCTGGTTAGGCTGCTTGGCTGATCGGTTGCGTTCGGGAGCGCGCCGGAGGGTTCCGCTGCCACGTTGTTCTCCGCTGGTTGCTCGGTTGATTGGTCGCACGGGAGTGACGCACCGGCCCTGCGCGCGTGGCTGTGCGCAGGAGGTGTGCCGCAGAGAGGAGAGCTTCTTGCGGGATACGCTCCGCGTGAAGGGCGTGCCACTCTGCGAACCTTGTCTCTGGGGACGCAGGTGGAGCTCCCTGTGGGGCGCGATCCCCGTGAGGGGTGGGCCGACAAGGGCGGGGGAGTGCTAGCCAAGTCTGTCTCTGTGGCCGCAGGTGGAACTCCCTGAGGGCACGACCCGTGCGACAATCGATGTCCTCAGTGTATACTACGACTAGAGCTTGCCAGAACCTAAGCGCGCGAAGCGCGCGCGCGTGGTTCTAGCGTGTATGTATATATACACATCTATATATACACACTCACATACACATACACCCATACGTACATACATACATACATGCATGCATGCATTCATACATGCATGCATGCATACATACATACAGACACACACATACACACACACACATACATACATACATACATACATACATACATACATACATACATACATACATACATACATACATACAAGCAAACATACATTTACATATATATATATATATATAGATAGATAGATAGATATCGGGGGTCCCAGGTCCTCCAAAATGCACTGATTTATCTTCCGGCCGTTTCGGGCCCATCGGGGGGCGCCAAGATAGCCCAAGAGCGTTCCAAGAGAGCTCAAGACCGCACAAAAGCGTTTCAAAATTGGTCCAACATGGCCTGAAGACAGCCAAAGAGGGCGTCAAGACGGCCAATATGCTCTCAAAAGGACTCCCACGAGGCACTCAGGAGGCGAAACAAGTAGGTTTTTCTATGGAGTTTGGAGGTTTTTCGTGTTCTCGCTGTTTCGTGTTTCCGACTGCCCAAGACAGCCCACGAGGCCCCAGAAATCAGCTCAACACGGCCCAAGATGCACCCAAAGAGGGCGCCACGACGGCGCAAGAGAGCCCCAAGACGGCCCACGAGATGTTTTCCCGTCCGTTTTCGCCCACCCCCATTTCATTGCTGTCACTCCCTCCCTCACATCTTTTCGGCCTGTTGCCCTTCGAACCCTTCCATTTGTCCCTCGCGTCTTTTTTATTCCCTACCTAGGCTCTGCCTAGAAGGCTTCTTACTCTCTGGGCTTAAAGGGGCTGGGCAGTGGAAAGCGCCCCGGGCGGTTCCCCCAGTATCCGCCCCGCGGTTCCCCCAGTTACGTCCCCTTAGCTTAGCGTTGCTTATCTCATCGTAGCTTAGCTTATTTTATCTTAGCTTAGCCCGTGCTTCATCTTAGCTCAGCCCGTGCTGCGGTGCTGCACAGCCCGTGCTGCAGCACCGCAGCACGGGCTGCACAGCCCGTGCTGCGCAGTCCCCGTGCTGCACAGCCCGAGCAGTCTTCTGTGTAGGTACGGTCTAGCCGATGCATGGATTGACGCTCGGACGCGGAGGAAAATGAGCTGATAACATACATTCATGCGTACATACATACGTACGTACATACATACATACAAACAAACATACCTACATACTTACATACATGCATGCATACAAACATACATACATGCATGCATGCATGCATGCACGCATACATACATACATACAAACATACATACATACATGCATACATACATACACATATACATGCACACATACATACATGCATGCATACATACACACACGCATGCATACATACATACACCTATACACCTATACATGTATACGCCTATACATGCATACATACATACATGCATACATACGTACGTACGTACGTACGCACGTACACACATACATACATACACGCGTACGTACATACATGATGATGTTTATGCACCACCTTCTTAGGCCCCTCTGGCGACACTTCTCGTAGCCAGCGCTGCAGTCGCCTCGAGATTCTGGTCATTGGGGTGCCCGGGAGACCAGGGTTTGATTAGTGTTGTCGGTCGTTGATTCGGTACAACGAGATATGTATTTTACCCTTGCATTCAGGACCCTCGTTTAGGGGGGTGGGGGTCTCATTGGAGCCGCCCTCTCTCCATCCTCCGCGCTTGCTCTGGTAGCCGCCCCAACCTCCAGGAGGCCCCGGGCCCCGCCTCACACGGCGCCCCCTCTCGGGATATCTCAAGAGGCCCTCCAGGGAAGCCCTGGCGAGGGTCCCATTTTGAAGGGCGAGCCCCCCCAGCCAGGGCCAGGGCCGGGTCCAGACTCCCGGCTGTTGAGTAGATGTAGATGTAGATGTAGTCTCGCTGTTGATGTTGATGTAGATGTAGATGCAGGTGTAGATATTGATGTAGCTGTCGGTGTAGATGTAGATGTTGCTTTCCTAGATGCTCCAACTCCTAGGTAGGGTCGCACTGGGATAATTGCAAAGGCTTGCTGCCTTTGCCGCCAGCCCTGAAGGCGGGATATCCCTGGGGACCCCCGCTGGCGCCCCCTCACCCGGGACCCGCCTGGACCCGGGGGAAGGGTCTTCTGACCCTGGACAATTCTCCCCCCCACAGACGGGACCTCCAGGGCCTCCCCGCGCCTCCTCCCCCCTGTCCTTCCTGTCCACAGGGGGGACCGGGGAGGGGAGGGAGGGCCGCTGTGACCCCAGAGACGGGGGGGGGACGGTAATCTGACCCGGGGGTCAGGAGGGGTCAGGAGCGGTTCCCGGGGGAAGGTCGGGGGGCGGGAGGAGGGGTCAGGAGGGATCGGCCAAGCTTGAATGTGCTCCCCTTGTCCCAATCACCACAGCGCTTCGGGCTCAATGAGCCGATTTGTTGGCGCTGCGGGTGGGACCTGGTGGACGCCCACAGTCAGGCGCCTGCCCACGCGTTGCATTACCATCTCATGAAGCCTTGTCTTCAGTTCGGGCGAACCCCACGTAACATTTTGAGCTGGCCCGGCGTGGAGCCTACGTACTGACTATACCTTTCTGAGGAAACGCGCAGACAAACAACGATCATTAACGTCAGCATCAGCATCTTCATATTCATCGGCATCTTCACCATCCTCATCATCATCATCATTACCGTCAGCATCAGCGTCAGCATCAGCATCAGCATCAGCATCGGCATCTTCTCCACATTCATCGTATTCACCGTCTCCATCATCCTTATCATCACCATCATCACCCTCACCATCACCAACACCATCATCACCATCGTCATCACCACAATCATACTAGTGCGCGCACGTCTTGCGTCAGCCGGTGTTGCCATCCGTAGCGCGTGTGGCTCAAAGGGGGGCTCCCTGGATGCATATGCAGGTTGATCCTCTGCTGCTGTACACACTCACTCGAGACTCTCTGTCGGGAGTGTACCATCTCTTTGCTGGGACACAGGTGGAGGAAGCGTGTCCTCCCTGTGTCTGCCAGTGCGTCGTCTCGGGCGAGGCGAGCGGAAAGTGCCCCGCGCTCGAGCGTCTGGTCGCCCAGCAGCTTCAGGGCCAGACAAACAGCACGACGAGCTACCAGATCAACTTCGTGTTGCACGCCGGCTTCGTCGCGGTAGCCTTCGTGGTGGGAGCTCTCTTTGGACGCAGTTGCTCGTTCCGCAGTTCCAAGCGGACGGTCAGCCAGACAGATGGCGCAGCTGGTGGTAGCAGCCGGACAGGCAGGAGCGGCGGGGCAGGCGGTGGTGTCATCGTCGTTGGCCCCGGGGCGTAAAGTGCTGGCGCGGTACGACGAGGACCTCTGGCACGTTCGTGTCCTGCTCTCTCGAATTGAGGACACAAGGTGGATCATTTACACACCGGACAGGGACCTGTACGAGGAGGACTACGGCTCGAATAACGGCGACATCACCGGTGTGCGAGCGTCCAGGTCGGACGGCAGCATCCCGGCGAGCTTGCAGGGCGCCAACATCTACAACTTCAGAGTAGGTGCTGAACCCGATCAGGCCGCGCTGCGCGGCCTGATGGAGGAGGCGCAGGACCTGGTGGCTCTGGCAGGTCGCGGAGCGGCTCCGCCTGGGGCTGAGCCGGAAGTCTGGCTGTTCGTGGAGTCGAACGCAGTGTTCTCGATCGGGGACGAGTGCCCGGGGCAGCCGGAGCGATTGTCGAGAAGCGCGGCATCGCTCGCGCCGGGCCGGACTTGCTCTTGGTGGAGAAGGTTGCGAGGATCAAAGTCGAGCAGTGGAAGACGGACCACGCTGCTTCCAGTGACGCGCGGGTGCTGCCGGTTCGGTATGCTCCCTCCGGCGAGCGGCTGCGCAGCTGGGCGAACGTGACAGAGAGTGCGAACGAGAGTGCGATCGACCATTGGCCTGTAAAGGGGCCGAGAACAGCGCAGTGGGTGGCCCGCTTCATGGCCCGTCGTAGCACGGGGCCAGAGGACCACCACCTCTGGTGGAGATCGACCGCCCGCCTGAACGCCTCGGAGTGGGGCGTGGCTGAGCATGGCCAGCTGTGCTCGTACCTTGAGGCGGCGGGAAGCGTGGACCAACTCGACCTGTCGAATCTGGTGGTGATGGAGAAGATCGCACGCCGGCTCCAGACCATGGAGTACCAGTGCGCGGAGAAGGTTCGAGAGGGAGAGCGCGGTGGGTCCGCCGGCGCCTCTTCCTCCGTTGCCGGTTCGGCGGTCATCACGAATGACGAGATGGACCTGTTCGAGGGTCGGCAGCACGTCAACCCCACGGTGTGCTGCGCCCCGGCTCCTATCGAGCACGCGAGCAAGGAGTTAGAGAAGGAGTCGCAGATCCAGAAGCAGGCCAGGAAAGCACGAGAAGAAAGAGCCCTACTTCGTCAGCCCCCAGGCGGAGGTGGTCGCGGCCGTGGGGGCGGCGGGCAATGAGCGCACGCGGGGCCGTCGGAGACGGCCTCATCCGGCGGCCAGCAGTGCAGGAAGGCCATCCTTCGCTCAGAGGAGCGAGAAATTCGAGTGCGAAGTCAAGTCGGCTACTTTCGTCGACGGAGCCTCGGCATCTTTTGAAACGTCGGGTAAAAGCATCGGGGTCAGAGCCCTCGATCTGTGCAACTAGGCGGCCGCCAGGGCTGAGCAGTCTTCCAGTCTCATCTGAACAGTGGTTGAATAGACTTAGTCATGACGCCTCCTCCGTCCTTACTGAAATGTATATGGGTGGTGCTCCGTGCTGTCCTGCTGGTGCTGCTTCCCCTCTGGGCGAGGGCAGCATGGGGCACCTCCGGGAACGTTGCAGTAGGATGGGCCCCCCCCCCCGCTGGTGCTCAGCCGGCCGAGGCTTTTTCGGGCATCAGCGGCGGGCGTGACTACTCTGGCGAGAATTCGCCAGCAGTTCCCCTGGACGAGTCTCTGCTGTCGCTTAGGCCAGCAGGGACGGCCACAAGTGATATTCGTCAGCTTCTGGGCCCCAAGGGTCGTGAGGAAGTCCAGGCGTGGATGTGCGAGCACGTGCTACCAAACTCGGTAGGCGTGCGCAGTTTTGAAGCGAGCAAGATGAAGATTTATCATGACCCTGATCTTCGCAGGTCTGCGCGCCGATATGCACGCGTGCTGCGGATGCTGCGTGGCAGGAACATGGTTGAGTTTGTGTGCGAGGAGGGTGACGCTTGCGTAGGACTTTTACTGTGCGCAAGAAGAGCGGTGCCCAGCGCCTGAATGCCGATTGTCGGCAGTCCAATTGCTTCTTCACGAGTAGTGACCATGTCGAGCTGCCCGCGTCGGGCGCTCTGTCCAGGTTGAGGCTCGAGGCCGGAGAGCAGCTGCATGTAGGTCAGTACGGTTTAAGTGATGCTTTCGTTCAGTTTGGAACACACCCCCGAATTGCGGAGATTTTTCCATTTCCCCCCCATCGAGGCTAAGTGGATGAAGCAGCTGCTCCCCGACATTCTGAGCACCGGAGGGATTGTGCGACCTCGGCTTACTGCCATGCCGATGGGCCGGGTCCACGCGCTGTACCGGTGCCAGACAATGCACGAGAAGATTTTGCGCCAGGCGTTTCCGAGCTCTCATCTTCTGCAGGATCATCGTCCGGTCGGTGACCTGAAACATGTGTGTGAGTCGGTATATGTGGATAGCGTGGGCGTCTCCTCGAGTTCCCCTGATGTTTGTCGAGATCTTACTCAGCGATCCCTGTCGGCTGTCTGGGGTGCCGGTTTAGAAGCTCACGAGGTCGATGTCGTCGGAGTCGGAGGAGATGTACTGGGGCTCAGCGTTTCGGGAGACGGTCGGATCTTACCACGACATGAAAGGAGATGGAGGGTGTGGATGGGGTTGGAGCCCCTCTTGAGGCGCCGTCGTTGTTCTGGGAGGACGCTTCGGAAGGTCTTGGGACACATCGCCCATCAGGCAATGCTTCGTCGGAGTTGCTGTCCTGCTTTCATGCTGTGTATGTGTTCATAGAGAAGAACCCCGATCGCCCCTCGAAGTTGTGGCCCGCGGTGCTGAGAGAACTCCGGTGGGCACAGGCGTTGCTTCCTTTGCTCGAGTGCGACCTTACCAAGCCGTGGGGACCGAGGGCCTATGCGCGCGATGCGTCGCCGTGGGGTCTTGGGGCCTTGGGCGGCGCGGCCGCTCGCAGAGGTGTTGGACGAGGCCAGCAGGTATTCGGATCGGTGGCACTTCTTGGGTGGAGGTCGCGTTAATCCTCGGGCAGCACTGGAAGACGGGAGCAAAGAGATGGGGATGATGAAGCTGGGGCACCTGAAGGTTCCTTTCGAAGAGTGCCTCCTGTTCCTGGGCTTCACACTAGCTTGCTGCACGCTAAGTGGCACACGGTCAGTAGTAAGGCTTGGGAGCGTAGTGAGCACATCACTTCTCTCGAAGGCCGGGCCCTGGTAGGAGCCCTCAGAAGGGTCGCGAGGACTCGCGAGTACATCCAGAAACGGGCCCTCATTCTCACGGACTCAATGGGTGCGTTGTTTTCAGCTCAGAAGGGAAGGTCGAGCGCCCCAGGTCAGTGCCGCGTCGCCCGTCAGCTGGCCTCCCTCCTCCTGCTGCGGGACATCCAGCTCTGTCTGCGATGGGTGCCCAGCGAGAGGAACGTGGCTGACGAGCCATCCCGCCGCGGTTTGCGGCATGCTGTCGCGGCGGCCGCTGAAGGCAAGTTCCGCCGTGGCTGGGGCAGCTCGCGAGGAGAGAGTGCTCTCGCGGAGTGGCGACGCCGGGCGCTGCCTGACCCGCCAGGCGCCGGCCCCGCCGGCGCTGCAGCCGGGCGCCGCCCGCCCGGCCCCCCCGGCGGGAGGGTCGGCCTTGGTCGCGCCGGCGGCGGCGCCAGCCGAGGAGCCTCGTCTGCCGCGCCGGCGCTCGGCCACTGCAACGGCGCCGGAGCACGCGCGTCGGCGAGTTCGGCGACGGCAGGAAGCTCACGGTGCAGTGCGGGCCTTGCCGGGTCGGACTGTGCTGGAGACGATCGTGGCGCGGGCGCCGACGAGGCGATCGTACCTCCGCCGGCTTGCGATGCTGGCGCGGCGCTCGGGGATGGCGATCGCGCGGAACGTGGCGGGCGCGGAGCTGGACCGGGCGCAGGATCGCATCATCAGCTTCCTCGGCCAGATGAACGCAGCGAGTTTGGACGCGGCGGTGGCGGAGCACCTCAACGAGGAGTTCTTCGAGGGCGCGACGGGGGGCGAGGGCAGCCGGTTGCTGGCGGCGCTGTCCTGGGTCTTCGCCTCCGTGGGCAAGCAGGTGTGCAACCTGCCCCGGGCGCGGACGTGCTCCGTGGCGCTGCGGCGACTTGCTCCGGGCGAGTCGAGGTTGCCGGTTCCCGAGAGCCTGCTCTTTGTGGTGGCGAACGAGCTGATCGCAGAGGGGAGGTTGCAGCAGGGCGTGGCGGTCTCGGCGGCGCACCACTGCTACCTTCGTCCCGGCGAGCTGTCCCGCATCACGTGGAGGATGATCCACCCGCCGGTCAGTGCGAGCGGGCCGGGGGCCACGGTCACCATCGTGCCGCGCCCCTTCGAGCTCGGCGCGAGCTCCAAGGTGGGGGAGTTCGACGAGACAGTGAAGGTGGACTGGCTTCCTCTGGCCGCGGCGCTCCTTCGGCTTCGACGGATCCGCCCAGCAGACGAGCGCTTGGCAGGGATCGGCTCGGTGGCCATCGGCGAGAGCGCGGCGCAGGTCATTCGCGAGTTCGGCCTCGAAGAAGCGATCGGCGAGTTCATGATGCACCGTCTTCGTCACTCGGGGCCATGCGCCGACTTCCTGGCAGGTCGCAGGACGATCACGGAGATCAAGCATCGCGGCCGGTGGTCGTCAGACAGCAGTGTGAGGAGATATCAAAAGGGAGGCCGGATCAACGAGCTCCTAAATCGGCGTTCTATTTAGATGAAGGAGTTCGCCGCAAGGTGTTTGGAAGTTGTGCCGAGGATCCTGCAGAGTGCGGCCGCGCCGCTGCAGGCACCAGCGGGCCTACGCGTGCGTTGATTGTCCCTTTCTTTCTAGAGATCTTTGCAGGAACGGCTCGCGTGTCCAAGGAGATGGCGCGGCTCGGCTTCCTGGCGATCGCTATCGACACTCGGTTCGGCATGAGGCATGATATGCGTAAGAGGTCCCTGGTGAGAGCTATGAGAGGCTGGATTATGTCAGGCTTCGTCATAGGCATTCACTTCGGCACGCCGTGTATTTCTTGGTCTCGTGCTCGTACCAGACCCAATGGTCCTCAGCCACTAAGAAGCGGTGAACACATTTTTGGGCTGCCCATCTTGCGAAACGAGGGGGGGGGGGCGCTGGAAGATTGAGATGGGAAGCGCTTCCATGAAAAACACTGTGAGCATCGCGCTAGTGGCGTCTCTGCATATGGTCCCGTTCTGCATCGAGATCCCGTACTTATATTTTATTTGGGAGGCGCCTCAGATGCTGCATTCACGACGACGTCGAACTACACGTGAAATTCGAACTGATCTCTGTCAATGGGGAGTCCCTTGGACGAAGCCAACCAGGTTAGTGTGTAGTTTCTTGCCTGCTGAGTCCTTGGTCCGTAGGTGCAAGCTCTGCAGGGGGAGGTGTTCCAGAACTAACAAACCGCATGTGTCTTTAACGGGCAAAAACCGTAATGGATTTGTTTAAACCCGCGCGGCCGAGGAATATCCAAAGTGTTCTTTTTCCCCCCAGGCCCTTGCTACTGCTTTCGCTAACGGTTTTAAGAGCCTGAAGGCCACCTCTGTTTCTGCAGCGTTGTAGTGAGTGTGTATCCAGAGAGAAGTCCCACCACCACCCCTTCTCCTCCGTGAAAGAACGGTTTGCACGTGTGGGGCGGAGCTGCGCTTCAGAATTCTGTGATGTTGTCGAGCAGCACCATGCAAAGGTGCTGGTGCACAGCGCTTGAGATCGCTTCAACTGTCTGCGCTGCCCGAGATGGAAAAAGGTCTTGCTGCCGCTGCTCGTGCTCCCTCGGGTCTCGGCGGCTCTCTCTAAGCAGGCAGGTGTCTCACACGCCCCGAAGGCAGATGCTACTAGTGCGCGCACGTCTTGCGTCAACCGGCGTTGCCATCCGTAGCGTGTGTGGTTCCCGCCCACCTCCCTTGGCACATTTTCACTTCTTTAACTTGCGGAGCGGAGCTGCGCTTCAGAATTCTGTGATGTTGTCGAGCAGCACCCTGAAAAGGTGCTGGTGCACAGCGCTTGAGATCGGTTCAAGTGTCTGCGCTGCCCGAGATGGAAACAGGTCTTGCTGCCGCTGCTCGTGCTCCCTCGGGTCTCGGCGGCTCTCTCTAAGCAGGCAAGTGTCTCACACGCCCCGAAGGCAGATGCTCATCATCATCACGACGATCATCGTCATCGTCGCTGTCGTCGTCATCAACATCATCACCACCATCATCAGCATCATCATCGTCATCGTCATCGTCATCGTGATCATCATCGTCATCGTCACCGTCATCATCATCATCAGCAGCATCACCACGATCAGCATCACCGTCATCATAATCATTACTATCATCGTCAACAGCACCATCACCATCAGCACCACAGTCATCATAATCATCATTTTCATCGTCAACAGCATCATCACCATCATCATCATCGTCATCATCACCATGATCGTCATCTTCATCATTATCACCATCACCATCATCGTCATCATCATGGTCGTCATCACAATCACCATCGTCATCATCACCACCACCACCACCACCATCATCATCATCATCATCATCATCATTTTCGTCATCATCATACTACGCTTCATCATCATCGTCGTAGTCGTTGTCATCGTCGTTGCCGTGCAAAACGCCAGCCTGGGAGGGGGAATGAAGACGATGAGTGGGTAGAGGAGGCGTCTGCGCCCCGACCCCTCGAGATCGCCGCGCCCTGCTTGGCTGGCCAGCCGAGAGACGCCTTTCGGTGCCACGTGGACCATCGGGGAGGCAAGTCGAGGCGCGGGAGTTGAGTTCCGATGGCCCATTTGTCAGTGGGGGTCCACTGTCAATCGGGGGGGGGGGAACGAGTCGCGGGAGCTGAGTTCCGATTGCCTTTTTTTCCGACCGTGGGGGCCACATTCAAATGAGCAGTCGAGGGGCAAGGCCGAGGCGGGCGAATGGAGTTCCGATCGCCCAACTAGCAAAAGGAATCCCGTTGTCAAATGGGTCATCGGGGTACCCGATTGCTTATTTGATGCTGGGATACCCACTGTCAATCAGGGAATGTGAAGGGAAATGTGGCAGATTGCCCGTTTGACAGTGGGGATCCCATTGTCAAACGGGCAAAGTTCGCTTAGCACTTTCAGCTCCAATGTTGCCCCTCCCCACCCCCCATCGTACGGGGGGTTATGGGTGGGGAATCTCACACGCTTTGATGACCCAAAAAGGGTCGACGCACTCCGTGACTGCCCCACAAGCCCATTGCTATGCCTCAGAAGGCCTGGCACCACGCGTTAAGGGTGGCTTACGGTCGGGACACTTCTCCTTTGGTAAACTCGAGCGTGTGGATTCGCGCAAAGCCTATTGACAATGACTGAGGAGTCGGCGCTAGAACCGAAGCGCGCGCGAAGCGCGCGCGTGGTTCAAGTATACATGTATATATACACACAGATTCACACACACACGTACATACATACTGACATACATACATACAGTCATACATTCATACATTCATCAACACATACGCGCACACACACATCCATCCATCCATCCATCCATCCATCCATACAGACATACAGACATACAGACATACAGACATACAGACATACATACACCCACACACATCATGCATACATGCATGCAGACAGCCAGACATACACATACATACATACACACGCACAAACATACATACATGCATGCATACATACATACATACATACATACCTACATACATACATACATACACATACATACATACATACATACATACATACATATATACATACATACATACATACATACACACATGTTTACATACACACATGCATACATACATACATACATACATACATACACACATACATACATACATGCATGCATGTATGCATGCCTACCTACCTACCTACCTACCTACCTACCTACCTACCTACATACATGCATACATACATACATACACACAAACATACATACATACATACGTACATATACATATACATATACATATACATATACATATCCATATACATATACATATACATATACACAACTATATACATATGTATATACATATCGCGGAGCCCTTGTTGAAGTACCCGGCCTCTGACCCCTTACCTGGGTGGCTTTTCACCTTCTCGGGTGCATGCGGCAGGCTTTCAAATTGCTCCCAGGCGGCCCGAGGTCGCCGAAATATCGTTCCAAGACGCCCAAGATGGCCTCAAGACGGCCCAGGAGGCCCCCAAGACGCCCCAGGAGGCCCGCAAGAGGACTCCCACAAGGGCCTCAAGGGCCAAACATGGTTTATTTCCCTTGGAAAACGTATGTTTAGAATATTCGTCTCTGGAGCTTTCAGAGCATCCAAGACGGCCCGCGAGGCCTCCAAGATCGCCCCAAGACGGCCCAAGAGGCTCCTTGCAGGGCTCCAAGACGGCCCAAGAGAGCCCCAAGACCCCAAGAGGCCCAAGAACCGAATAATTGCTTCCAGGAGGCCCCCGAGAGACCTGCCATGAGATCCGAAGGAACTGCCCAGATGCTTGCATGAGGAGCTCCAGACGATTCCAGGACATCTGAAGCGCGCTCCAGAGCCTCACAAGAAGACTCCAAAACGACCCGGGATGGCCTGAAGATGGCCCAAGAGGCCGCCAAGATGGTCCAAGCTGGCCCGAAGATGGGCCCAAGGTTCCCCAAAACGCTTCCACGACGCCCCCAAGCAGTTCCCAGAGGTCCAGAAGATGCCCCCAGAGGCTTCCCAAATGGCCTTGAGAGCTGCAAATGTTTCAACATCTTGCGGAAAACCGCAAAATAATGAAGCATTAGCTCGTTCATTGCCGATGGGCTTCGGGGGCCTGTGGATGGCACCATCATCCGGAATGGTCCCACGAGGAGCCCCAGACGCGCCCCGACAGAGGCCCGAGAAGGGGACCGTGAAAGAAGAACCCCAGATCTTCACTCCAAGAGCCCCCCAGGTGACCCCAAGAGGCCCCCAAGACGTCCAAAATTATTCCGAATGTAAGACCCCACACGAGAATATGTTTAGCTTACCCTTAGCCCTTTCCCCGTCACCCTGGTGGACATCCTCCTCTCGCCCTGAGCTCTGCTCTCTCCTCTTCTTCCTTTTTATCTATCCTCCTCCTCCTCCTCCTCCTCGTTCTCCTTCGTGGCGGAGGGGGCAGTGGGCGGGGCTCCCGCTGGGGCGCTGGGGACGCGGGGGGGCTCGGGGCAGAGAGCCACGGCGCGGGGGTCCCACTCTGGCGCTGGGGACGCGCGTGTGTGTGTGTGTGTATATATATGTATGTATGTATGTATGTATGTGTGTGTGCGACGCGGAATAAAGTGGTCGGAGCTCTAGACACCCTGTGCAAGATAATAGCGTGGACACTCTGTGCAAGAGAACTCGTTACGCCTCCTCCTGCTCGTCCTCCCCTTCCTCCTCTGCCGAAGCTATCCCCCAGAAGGCCCAATACCTCCGCGCGCCAAGGGCGGCCCTTGCCTGGGGAACCTTTCCTTGGGCATCTTGGGGTTCGTGGGTTTGCGCAAGGTCCAGTGACAATGGCTACTCAGTCGGCTAGAACCTAAACCCGCGCGAAGCGCGCGTGGTTCTAGTTCTGGCGCATGTGGTCTGCACTTGCGGATTCATAGTGTTCAGAAACGCGTCCCTCATCTTGCTCACTCCCCTATTATCTTTCCTGGCCAGCGCTTCGACCTGCGACTTTGCGTGGGTGGATGCCCAGGCCTTGATGTTGGGCTTGTGAGCGGCGTGGTTCCACGCCATTTATACAGCAGTTGATTTTGCTAGGCTGGCCTTGCGCGGAAGGATCTTGTTGCATGCCGCTCGAGGGCGTTGCGTGCACTTGATTCTGACACAGTGGCAGTCTGGTACCAGCAACTTCCTTTTCGCTCCACCCTCACTCTGTCCCTGTGTCTGCCTCCTTCCGCTCTCTCCAATTCGCCCCATCCCACCCCGTGCCTGAATGGTTTGGTTGCCTACGCGCGATGCGCGAGCTCGAGCCGGTTTTGCATTCCATTTTGGAGGAGGGGGGCGGGGAACAGGGCAAAGAGGAGGAGCAGCAAGTGGCGAAAATCGCCAATGCCGGCTGTGTCCTGCACCCTTTCTGCCGTTGCCTAGTGGAACGCATCAGCAAGTTCCACTGATTGATGCGTCGTGTTTTCGCATGCGCAAGTTGTACATATTTCGCCTTGCACTCCGTTGACATCGCCTTCAAATTGTGATGGCTGGCACTGACGGTTGCGATCTTTCTGTTGAGTGAGTCCCCGAAGACATTTTTCGTTTGTCCCATCGATCGGCGATCCAGTGCCGCCGCTACCATCATCAGGAGACCACGGACAATGAGAAGGGATGGTGCCGGAAGACGGAGAGGAGGATAGGAAGATTTATCAACGATGTTGGAATAACCGTTCCGTCACAGCTCCTTCATAGGCCCCCCTATACGGATTCCTCTCCACTGAAGGAAGTGCCCCGTTGGGCGGCAGTCCTTTGAAGATCCTGAAGCGTGCCAAACACCATTCTCGGAACTTCCACGCCACGAATCAACCTGATTGTTGCGTTTTTGCGGTCCTGAATCGTGCCATTCTTTGGACGTCGACGCCGCGACTCGATGTAACTGTTGCGCCCTGACAATCCTGAATCGCTCTCAAACACCATATCTGGTGCGTTAAGAATGGGAACCCGTGATACTCCTGCAATTTGTTTAGCGAACGTGGGTGGCGCTAGGGCCAGAGCTACATTTTGAAAAGGAACCGCCCTCCATGAGTGAAGCTCCTGCAAAGTTTTGAAGTCAGTGTACGTGGCGGTAAAGGGGAGAGCCACATCTTGGAAGCTGCCCGTTCTCAATCCGTGAGGCCCTCGCATCTTTTCAGATGTGCGCGGCAGAGAGGCGAGAACCACTGAAACAACCACCCGCCCGCAATCCGTGAGGTTGGAAGCAGCCCGCCCTCTATGTGTGAAGTTGTCACCGCCCAGCGACCCACCCCAACCCAACCCGAAGGCCTCGATTTGCCCTCCATTTCCAGTGGGGGGGGGGTCGGGGAACGTTGAAAAAGCACATGGAATCCGTACCCCCCCCAACCCAAAATTCGGGTCAAATTCGGGTCTTCTGGTTGGGTTGGGGTGGTCCGGCAGGTAGTCAAATTGTGGCCAATTTGTAGGCGTCACGATCATACATGGTGAGGAAGTCTCGGGCGAAGCGCCAGGCCCGCCCTCGCGACCAGCCTCGGGGTATGACAGGGAGGAGTGATTCACAAGGAGAGGAGTTCGCCGCCACGGTGCGGGAAATCGGGCGGGCTCAGGACTGGGATACAGTAAGTTCATGCGGAGATGGCGCGCTGGCGACGCCAGCGAAAGCATTCAGGGTTGAATGCCGCGTGATAGAACGACACGGAAGTACCGAGGGACACGGTAATGCCACAGGACCCGGCGGAATATAGCCTTGAATGAGCGGAGCCGCGATCGGTTAACGATCGACGCGGTGTCAAAAACCTTTGCGAGTGCCAAATCCACACGAACCCACCGCAAATCGTTCCAGGGCCCGACGAAGAAACAATTCCATCAACATACGTAACCACAATTTCACAGGCTCGCCTTGCTTCGCCTTAAACATCGTGATTGCACGGCGCCAGAGTGGCCCGCCGCGATCAGTACCCGCCAGTACGCGATACGCTTCAGCGATGTGGTCCGTGGGTCACGCGAGGCTGACAGGCCCCATGGGTCCTACCTGGTCAGAGGGCTCAGATGCTTTTCCGCCGCCGTTGGGGATCAGAGACTCGGAGCCTTAATTCTAGACGCTTCGCGGATCCCCACCTACGCCTGACCGCGGCCTCGCGCGCGCCCGCCTTTTAGTCGCGGCCGCAGCCCGACCGCGACCGCCCGCCGCTGGCGCTTCCGCCTGCGGCTGTAAAAAAAAATATCCCCACCAGCCCGTCCAGAAACGACGCCCAGGCGAGTAGAGGGTCGTCCTGAGGGGCTTTTCGGCGTCTTGGGTGCCTCGGGGGGGCCTCTGTGGGCCGTTCGGGATCCTCTTTGGGGCCTCCTGGGGGCCTCTTGGGGCCTCTTGGGGCCATCTTGGGGCCTTTGGGGGCCTCCTGGGCGCTTCTTGGGGCCTCCTGGGCGCTTCTTGGGTGCCTCTGGGGGGTCTCTTGGGGCCTCCTGGGGGTCTCTTGGGGGCCTCCTGGGGGCCTCTTGGGGGGCCTCTTGGGGCCATCTTGGGGCCATCCTGCGGCCTCTTGGGGCATCCTGGGGCCTCTTGCGGCCATCGTGGAGGAAGTCGATCAAAGAAGAGAGGAGCTTTAATTTGCCCTGCCCCCTCAGAAGGCCAAAATGGGGCCAAAACCATAGTAAAATCAATGATTTTGGCTTCCTCGCCGAGGCCGTTTTGGACGCTCTGACCGCTCCCCGCCCCTCCTGTCCAGGTCAGTGGGGAGGGGGTAGGGGGAGGGGTAAACCCCTCCCCGAAGGGGAAGAGGGAGGGGTGGAAGAGGAAACGCCCTAAACCACCGACGCCCAGAGGGCTGGACGAGTGGACGAGGTGGCGTTGATCGAGCGTCGATGTAGCATCGATCAACGTCGATTTAGCGTCGACCAGCGTCGATTCGCAGGAGCCAGCAAGATGGTATGGGAGGGTCCCACGAGTTGCCACCGGATTCGGTGCGGGCTCTGGGGGCCCTCGCTGGGTCCCAAGGGGCTGTCCGAGAACGGCTCGCGGTGAGAAGCTGGCGCGCATGGGCAGCTGCGCTCGAAGATCGTGGCAGTAGCTCCGACGATCTGCGTTGTCAATCATTGCGTGTGTCATCGATTCCGGCTTGTGAGCGCTTTTTTGTTCTGCGCTTCGCCATTGGGCGGCAAGGGGGTGGGGGAGAGTGGGGGTCTGGCTCCAGACCTCTGCTCAGTGCGACTGTTTGCAAGGGTGCGGCCTCTAGGGGCGACTCCACCCGCTCGAAACAGGCGCAAAAAACAGCCAAGATCTACTCACTGGGGGGGGGGGAGGAGAGGTGTTGGGGGGCCTGCGCCGATCGGCATCACAATGAAGATGAGAACGATCCTGGCGCCGGTCATCGGGCCCTAGGACCTTCAAGACAGATCGGGAACGCAACGCTACCCCTGGGTAAGCGGTCGGCGCCCCTGGGGCCGCGAATGGAAGCAGTCGTATCAGTCGTATGGCCCAAACCGTTGCAACGGGGGTCGACCTAAACGGTGTTTTGGCGATTTCGCAGGACGTTTTCGTTTCGATTCCGTTTTGCAGCGAAGTCGGATTGAAGACCGTAACGAGGGAAAACGAAAACAAAACGAAAAACATTGTTTAGGACCATCCCTGCGTTGCAGTGGTGAGCATAGCGTGTGGTGCGTCAGTGGGCGCTCGGGGTGACCACTCACACGGGTTTGCGGACTTAGGTTCTCCTCCGAGGGAGAATCCTTCAAGCAATGACGGCCGGGGGGGCTCCTGCTCCTCCTCCTCCTCCTCCTCCTCCTTCTCCTCCTCGTCCTCCTGGCTCCTCCTCGCACCTCCTCCTTCCACTCCTCCTCGCTCCTCCTTCCTCCTTCTCCTCCTTCTCCTCCTCCTCCTCCTCCTCCTCCTCCTCCTCCTCCTCCTCCTCCCCCTCCTCCTCCCCCCCCTCCTCGCTCTTTCCTCCTCCTCCTCCTCCTCCTCCTCATCCTCATCCTCCTCCTCTCCCTCCTCCTCCTCCTCCTCCTCCTCCTCCTCCTCCTCCGCGGTGCGGCACGGTTTGTCATCACAGCGTTGAATCAGCGCACGCCGGCGTTGTTACGACTGGATAAGCCGGCTTGGCGCATTCAAAAACGTGTCATGGCGGTGGCCGCCGAATTGGTCAAACGTGTCAGATTCTAGGCCTCCTACATGGGGTCGGAGTAGATGGGTTGGAGGATCGCGCCGCATCGCCGACGCATCGGCGATGCGTCTCAATGTGGAGCCCGTGCCTCCCAACGCCGACGCCGCCGATTCCCCTCCGACGTCGTTGATGCATCGCTGATACATCGGCGATGCATTGACGATGCGGAGCGATCCTTCGACCCCATCTACTCGGACCCCTTCTAGGAGGCCTCTACGTCGCTTTATTTGTTTAGTGAGCGCGCTCCACTTCTCGCACAGTGCCTCCTCGCAAACGTCCAAACAAAAAAGCATATGCTCGCCAATTTGTAATGGATCGTAGATCCCCTGCGTCGGATCCAGGCTGTTTGCGAGTAGCGGAGTGCGCGTGTCTGTTCTTGGCCCCGTGGCCAGCGGCCCCGGGATGAACATCTGCCCCATTTGCGGCCGAAGTCCCAGATGGGCGACGTCGCGAAGAGGTTGGGGGTCGCGAAAAGGGGGGGCGATGAAACGGGGGGGCAGCGAGGGCTGCAGAAAAGGAGGCCCCTGTAGGAGGACACGCCCGACCTGAGCGTAATGGGGGGGCGAGAAACGGGGGGGCAGCGAGAGCTGCAGAAAAGGAGCCCTCAAGGGCCCCTGAAGGGGTCCTCCCGGGCCCAGCAGGAGCATTTTTATCGGGCCCCACAAGGGTACCTTCCCCCCCCCCCTATTCACCGCCCCCTCCAGGACCCGTCGGTCGTTAAAGAGTCCATCGTTTTGGGTGCCCAGATCCGAAGCTGCTTCGGGCGCCCTCCTACTGTTGGCTGCGCTTTCTTCTTCCCTGGGCGGGCCCGCACCCACTCCACCTCCGCCTCCCCACCTCGTGCTCCTACCTTTAAGTCGGGCCTGTCCCTCCACAGGGGGAATATTCAAACATAGTAAACAAATAGTCTGGGGACCATGTTTTGAGTATTTTATGACCATTTGGGAGTATGGTTTGGGTATTTTTTTCCGTCGAAAATCGCCCTGTAGGGGACAGGCCCGACATAATTCTACATGTTCCTTCCGACCGACGTGCAAATCGCGCCCAAGGCCAGCAGCCCCAGGATGAAAATCTGCCCCCATGCGGCCGAAGTCCCCCTGGAGGGTTGGGGGGGACGCGGAGGAGGGATGAGGAAGGAGGGAGGAGGGAGGAGGGAGGAGGGGGGAGGAGGAGGAGGACGAGGACGAGGACGAGGACGAGGACGAGGACGACGACGTCGCGAAGCAGACGTGCAGACCGCCACGTCCGCTGGAGGACGCCGCGGGCGGCGCGGTGCTGTCCTCCATCGCTGTCGAGGGCACGCCGATCCGGTCGCCGCGGCCGCGCTCCCCGGGCGCCGCCGGCGCCCACGGAGAGCCCTGCAGGCCGGTGGCCCACAGACCCCGAGATCGGGGCGTCGCAGTTGCTCGAGCCCTAAGGGCGGCTTTGCCTCTGCTGACGGGCCTGTTGTCCACCACCACCCTCATGAGTCGGAGGGGGGAAGGAGGTGGAGGGAGGGGGGGAGGAGGTGGAGGAAAAGGAGGAGGAGGTGGAGGGAGGGGGGGGGGAGGTGGAGGAGGAGGAGGAGGAGGAGGAGGAGGAGGAGGAGGAGGAGGAGGGCCCCCCTCCTGCTTCAACTGAAGGTGGTGGTGGTGGAGAACAGGCCCATCATCTGCTCGGGCTCCAGGACCCTCACAGATCGATCCGGCTCGAGAAATGACGCAGGGCGACAGCCGCAGCGGCGGGGATCGGAGACGAGGCGCGGCGCGCAGTCAACCCGCGCAGTACTTGGCATCGCTCGGGCGTGTGCATTTGCCGGGCCCCGGGGCCCTCACAGATCGATCTGGCTCGAGAAGTGACGAAAGGATGAACGTGACGATGATGGTGGCGATGGTGGTTACAATAATGACAGTGCTGACGATCATGATGACGGTAATGACGATAACGATGACAAACACGACGACAATGACGATAATGATGACAATAATGACGATAATTGCGATCATGGTGACAATGGTGACGATGGGGTGTAGGGCTCTGGGCGCGATGCATTGCGATGCTGCGTTTTTTGCGCTGCGTCGGATCTCAGGGGAGGGGGCTGAGGGATCCCAGGCTGAATTTGCCCCGCTTGAGGGCCCTCGTCCTCGGGGCTTCGGCCCCCCCCCCTGAGACCCGACGCCGCCCAAAAAGACGGCCCCGTCTTGGCAGCGCTCGGCCGTGCGCGTGTGTTCTTCTCGGCGGCGAGCGAGAAGGCCTCCTCGGAAGGCTCGGAGGTCCCACGGCCTTCTGAGAAGCCTGTCCTAAGCCTGCCCCGAAGACAATCAAAAACTGCTCAGAAGGCGCGAGGGTCTCTGAGAAGTCCCGCCGCCTTTCGAGAAGGCCTTTTTCTTCTCATTTCCCCCCCTCGCTCACCGCCGACCTGCCTCGGCGAGGACCATCGACTAGCATCCTCGAACACAAACACACACAAGGCATCGAACAATGCACAGGACGTGGGCGTCCGAGCGAGGGCGAGCCGTGAAAAGGCAAGGCCGGGGCCCCAGGCCCCACGAAGTCGAACAATGCACGGGACGTGGGCGTCCGAGCGATTGCAAGCCGTGAAAAGGCAGGACTTGGTGGTTGTGCGCTTTGGGCCTTTTACATGGGCCTCAAGCAGGCCTTGTCGAATGCGTCCTTTTGGACCGATTCCAGCTTCGTTTTCCATGGTGTTTGGGAGCGTGGCAGGCTTTTTTGCTGCTCTGGGTCTTCGGCGTGGGCTGATGTCTGGAGGCTTGTTTGGCACGCCATTGACGACCGAGGCGGGCTCGACAACCCGTGCCTCCACAGTGTGAAGGCACACACCACGAGGTCCGAGCTGGCCCAGGGACACGTCTCCCCTCGTGCTCGCATGGGCAATGATACGGCCGATCAGTACGCTAAGCAAGCTGCTGAATACACCAGAGTGTCGGAGTTGTTTCGGCAGCAGTTCAATAATCATTTCACAGTAGTGTACACTCTCACTAGATTGGTTGGTCTGTGCGGGCCGCCCATGATTGACCTGGACAGTCTGCACGTGCCCCCGTCAAAGAGAGTGGCCAAGCCAAAGTCAGATGTTCCAGTGTTGCAAGTAATTCCTCCCCCGCCTGCGGTCACGTCGGTTGAGAGCCGAGCCGGTGTTGCGATCGCTGTGCTGCAGAGGGAGGGTCACCCCACGCACCGTGCCTTTCCCTTCACGTTGGCGGGTGGGAGGCGGGGTGCTGTGTGCTCCCACTGCGGAGCTGGCGGACTGGCGATTTCGAGGCAGTTTCGCGAGTCTTGCCCTCCTGTCCCGTCAGTCTGGGGAAGGAGAGTCTTCCGCGGTCTTGAGGCAGGCAGATATTTCCACCGCAAGGAGTGGGTTCTGCTACTAGAGGCTTGGAGGCCGATCGAGAGCGAGCGAGTCGGGAAGGGCGTGGACCCTGCCAGAGCCCTGGGCGAGCACCCTGTCGCTGGCCCCTCGGTTGGATGTCGCCCCCAGACGAGGGTGACAAAAAGGTCGCCCTGATGGGTGCTCGCCAGGGTTGTCTTTTCAGTTTCCCTTGTCGGGCGGCGGTGGGGTGACGGGTGACTCATCGGTCCGCCAGCTGCGTGCGCAGGGGGAGGAGGAGGAGGAGGAGGAGGAGGAGGAGGAGGAGGAGGAGGAGGAGGAGGAGGAGGAGGGGGAGGGGGAGGAGGGAGTGCGAGGACGAGGACGAGGACGAGGACGAGGACGAAGACGAGGAGGAGGAGGAGGAGGAGGAGGAGGACGAGGACGAGGACGAGGACGAGGACGAAGACGAGGAGGAGGAGGAGGAGGAGGAGGAGGAGGAGGAGGAGGGGGAGGGGGAGGAGGAGGAAGGGGAGGGGGAGGAGCAGGAGGGAGGGCAGCGCCCGCAAGGACTTGTTGCCATCGGGAGCCCAGGGACCAGGAGGAGGCCCCATCCTGCTGCTGCACTCGTCGGGCCAGCTCGACCTTTGTGGGGTCGCCCGCGGCCCGGGGCGTGGCGAGCCTGCCCTTTTTCGCGCCACGCTTGCGACGCCAGGATCTCGGCCGACGACGGCAGCTACACACCACCGCCGTGCCAGGCCAGGGCCACCCTGGGCCCCAGGATGATGTCGGGCGTGTCCCTCTACAGGGGGACTATTGAACCATAGTCAAACAGTTGTCAGGGGACTGTATTTCCTTAAACCGCTTCTGAATGTCTTTAGTGCGTTGTTCTGGTCTTTCATTTTTCGCTCAAGATCTGGCTGACGCCCGACCTAACTCTAGGATGGTGTATAGACACTCCTGGCTTCGGCCAGGAGGGCGTATGCACCATGCTAGGGCCCAGGCTGGCCCTGGCCAGCCACGGCGGCGTTGCATCGACGCCTTCTGCGCATCCCGGGGCCGTCCGAGCGACGCGAAAAAAAAACAGGGTGGTCTGCGCCGACATTGGCGCGTAGCCTGCCCGCGAAAGGTCGCGCGCGAGCGCTCTCGCTTCCAGCGTAGCGTGCCGCGCTGGCGGCCTGTGTAAGCCACCGCGTAAGGTCGCTACGTCGTCTCGCGTAAGTCCCGTGCTTGATCGTCGATCATCTCTTCGATGCGTGGGCCCGGTTTTTCGTCCGTGGCCGTTTGTTCGTCCTGAGCCGTTTTTGAACGCGAGGCCCGTCGAGGGACGTCAGAGGCCGAAAACAGCCGAAAACCGCCCGTTCCAATTTCTCCGGAGCGTCGTATCTCTGAGCCAGGCCACTTCCATCAGATTTCACGTAACCAAAAATACACGCCCGCAGCCCCAGACTCCATCTTCCTGTACAATTTTTCGAGTCAGATCGATCTGTGAGGGTCCCTGGGCCCGAAATGAGGCGAAAACGTTCTGGTTCGAGACAATGAAACGCCAGGATTTCAGGGTTGAGGCCGAAGAAAACAAAAAACAACGCCCGCTCTCGCACGGGGCCAGGACGAAGATAAATCCGTCCCAGAGAGTTCCAGATTCAGAGCAGGCCGCGGCGCCCGAGGCATCCTCCAGAACCGCCGCATTTCAGAGAGATCCTCGATGCGTGTCCTGGCTTCGTCTTGCGTTCCAACTCTCGTTGGACCTTTGGGTCGGGGCCACGTTTTGAGCCCTCGAGCAGGGCGGCGCCCGTGCCGCTCGGCGCCAGCTTCGCCCGGTCGCTGCCCGCGCTGCCGTTGGCGCCTGCGCCGCCAGTGCTGCCCGAGGCGCTGGCGTTGCCAGTGCTGCCGGGAGGCGCGGCGGCGCCGGTGTCGCCAGCGCCGCCCGCGCGGCCGCGCCCGCCGGGCAGCGGAGGTCAGAGGAGGAAAACGTATCCATACCGCTATTGGGCCTTCTCCTGATGCTCTCTTGTCTTATCTTCTCCTCCTCCCCCTCGTCCCCCTCCTCCACCTTCTCCTCCTCCTCCTCCTCATCCTCCTCCGTCTCCTCCACCTCCTCCTCCTTCTTGTCCTCCTTGTTCCTTCTCCTCCTCCTCCTCCTCCTTCTCATCCTCCTCCTTCTCCTCCTCCTCCACCTCCTCCTCCTCGTCCTCTTCCTCCTCCTCCTCCTCCTCCTCCTCCTCCTCCCTCCTCCTCCCATCCCTCCTCCTCCCATCCCTCCTCCTCCCATCCCTCCTCCTCCCATCCCTCCTCCTCCCATCCCTCCTCCTTCTCCTCCTCCCCCTCCTTCCCCTTTTCCCCCAT